TTAGTTGTCCAATTAATTTCTTTCTAATTTTAGTAGAGACAAGGTCTCGCTCTTGCTCAGGCTGGTTTCGAACTCCTGAGCTCAAACAATCCGCCGGCCTCGGCCTCCCAGAGTGCTAGGATTACAGGCATGAGCCACCATGCCCGGCCTCATTCTTTCTTTTACACGTCTTTTCAGTATCATACTACTGCTATCTGCTCCCTCAAACAACCTGTTGCATTGATCTCAACGAGGACTTTTTTGGAGAGAATATTTATCTTGAATAAATTCAGTGATGCAAAATGTCATGCAGGTATTGCCCCTTGACCTTGGAAGACAGTGTTCTGTTTTGTTTTACTTTGAGTTGTCCTAAAACATATTGCTCTGGAATTTGCTGGATTAAATGTTGTGGAAATTGTTCCAGTGACAGGTCACCCCCAAGGAAAGGACACCTGGGAAACTAAGGGTGCATCTATTGCTGACTTAGTATTTCTAATACTTTGGTATTGGTCAAGTATATTTAACCTTTAATAAGATATTAGTGCTGAGAAGAAAGGACATTAGTTCTCTAACATCTGCATATACTAGTGGTCTAGATAATATAGCTTCAGGGGTAGTAAAATTTTAGAATTCTTACCACATATATCAGGAACTGCCAGCCAACAAAGTAATATTGCACTGTTCTTGCCGAGATGGCCTGAGTTATATTTGGAGCAAAGTTCACCAACAAATAAGTTCCTGCAAATGCCAATGTCGTACCTTTAAACAAAATTGAAAAGATAAACCAAATTGAAAAGCGGCATTTGAAGCTTCTGTTGATGCAGACATTGCTTAGAGACTGAGCATTACTTGTAAAAGTACCAACCGTCCTCCCTACTAAAATATGGTTCATCAAATCATCCCTAGATAGCTTCACACGTTTACCTGAAGGAATTACCTTTAAAGGGAGAATAGGGCCAGGGAATGGATGGGGCAGGACATAAATTCTGATTTCTCTGTTGTTCCAGATGAATCCTGGCCTCTTCAGGGAAGCTTTCCCCAAAGATGGAAGAACACTGTGCATATATAGATGTGAAAACACATCCAAGCTGACTGTTTCCACGTGGGCCAGTAAGTACATGATGGTTCTAGATCCATCTAGATCTAGATCAAAGAGCCCAGAGGACAGGGAAGTCCATCACATGATGATTTGCTCTGCACTTACCTTTGGAACCTTTACACACACACTTGGGTGATTTAAACTTTGAAACTGTGGTCATGAGCACTTTAATCACTGCCATTTATTAGAGTCCTTTTGGCAGAAATAACAGAGGTGTATGCTGACTTTGCTGTAGGATTTTAATCAATCCTATCTAGAATCTAGAATTCCAAGGTTAGTGTAGTAAAAAAAAAAAACCCTTCATAAACCTATATAAGGAGTGTGTTACTGTCGTCATTGTAACATTACTGAAAACGATGGAGGAAGGGAATGTGTGGGAGGGGTGGCCACAGAAGGAGGGGTGAAGGGAGGACTTGCCCTTCCAAATAACACTGAAAACTTGCTTGTTTATTATATGTAAATAGCAGTCTGAGAAAAGCTGATCTATGTAGCATTTTTCAGACAGCACATTTGAAAACATAACTCAAATTTTTCCATCCCTAAGGCCAGTGGTGTTGTGGATATAGTTCACAGCTAGCATTGACTCCGACCGGAAACAATTTGGTTTCTCTATAAAATCTCACAATTCGAAGGCACCAATTTCCTATTCCTCTTCACCAAATGATTTAGAGTTTGAACTCTGGTTTCTGAGAACAAACAGCATTTGATTTTTTTACACAAGCTAGACAACAGCTATCCCGCGTATTGTAGAAGCTACAAGTAGGTGTCCTCTAATGTAATGCTTTATTCTGTAATACTTTGTGAAGGCATAATTTTTAAAGCTATTTCTAATGACAACGTTAAAAATAACAAATAATATACATTATTAAACATTATAATACTGTTTTTGCTATATCCCATAGGTTTGGATGTGTTGTGTTTTCCTTTTCATTTGTTTCAAGAAATTTTTTAATTTCTTTCTTAATCTCTTCATTGACCCACTGGTCATTCGGCAGCATGTTGTTTAATTTCCCTGTGTTTGTATCGTTTCCAATGTTCCTCTTGTTATTGATTTCTGATTTTATTCCATTGTGGTCAGAGAAAATATTTGATATGATTTCAATGTCTTTGAATTTTTAAAGACTTGTTTTGTGGCCTAACATATGGTCTATCCTTGAGAATGATCCATGAGCTGAGGAGACAAACGTGAATTCTGCAGCTGTTGGATGAAACTTTCTATAAATATCTATCAGGTCCATTTGCTCTATGGTGCAGATGAAGTCCAATGTTTCTTTGTTGATTTTCTGTCTGGATGATCTGCCAAATACTGAAAGTGGAGTGCTGAGGTCTCCAAAGATTATTGTATTAGGGTCTATCTCTCTCCTTAGCTCTGATAATATCTGCTTTATATATTTGGGTGCTCCAGTGTTGGGTGCATATGTATTTAGGATTATTATATCCTCTTGCTGAATTGACCACTTTTATCATTATATAATGACCTTCTTTGTCTCTTTTTACAGTTTTTGTCTTGAAATCTGTTTTATTTGATGGAAGTATAGCTACTCCTGCTCTTTTTTGGGGTCCATTTGTATGGAATATCTTTTTCCATCCCTTTATTTTCAGTCTATGTGTGTCTTTATAGGTGAAGTGTGTTCTTGTAGACAACATATAGTTGAGTCTTATTTTTTTATTCATTCAGCCACTCCATGTCTTTTGACTGGAGAGTTCAGTCCATTCACATTCAATGTTATTATTGGTAGTTAAGGACTTACTATTGCCATGTTGTCATTTGATTTCTGTTTGTTTTCTCGTCCTCTCTTTCTTACTTTCTTCCTGTCTTCCTTTGTTAAAAGTGATTTTCTCTGGTAGTATGTTTTAATTTCTTGCTTTTTATTTTTTATGTATCTGTTGTAGGTTTTTTTGACTTGAGGGTACCACAAGGGCTTGCAAAAAACATTTTATAACCAATTATTTTAAACATATGACAACTCTGCTTACAAATAAATAACCAAGGAAAGAGAAATCCAACAGAAATTCTACGCTTTAACTCCGTCCTTTGCCTCCATTTTTTAACTTTTTATTATTTCCATCTGTATCTTTTTATACTATCTGTCTCTCAAAAAGTTGTTGTGGTTATTTTTGATAGTCTTTTAGTCTTCCTACTCAAGATATAAGTGGTATATCTACTGCTCTATTAGAGCAATAGAGTATTCTATATTTGTATACTTACTGTTATCAGTAAGTTGTATACCTTGAAATGATTTCTTATTATTCATTAATGTCCTTTTCTTTCCTATTGAAGAACTCCTTTTAGCATTTCTCGTAGGACAGGTCTGGTGTTGATGAAATCGCTCAGCTTTTGTCTGAGAAAGTCTTTATTTCTCCTTTAAGGTTGAAGGATATTTTTGTAGGATATAATATGCTAGGGTTAAGTTTTTTCCCTTCAGCACTTTGAATATGTCATGCCACTCTCTCCTGGCCTGTAAGGTTTCCACTGAGAAATCTGCTGCCAGACATACTGGAGCTCCTTTATATGTTATTTTTTTCTTTTTTCTTGCTTCCTTTAGGACCTTTTCTTTATATGTCACCTTTGGGAATTTATTAAATGCCTTGAGGTAGTCCTGTTTGCGTTAATCTGCTTGGTGTTCTGTGACCTTCTTGTATCTGAATATTGATATCTTTCTCTAGGTTTGGAAAGTTTGCTGTTATTATTTCTTTGAATAAACTTTCTACCCCAATCTTTCTCTCTACCTCCTCTTTAAGGCCAATAACTCTTAGATTTGCCCTTTTGAGGCTATTTTGTAGATCTTGTAGGCATGCTTTATTCTTTTTCCTCTTCTGACTGTATGTTTTCAAATTGCCTGTCTTCAAATTCACTAATTCTTTCTTGTGCTTGATTGATTCTGCTGTTGAGAGACTCTGATGCATTTCTCAGTTTGTCAATTGAATTTTTCAGCTCTAAATATTTTTTCTGCTTGATTTTTTTTTTATTATTTCAATCTCTTTGTTAAATTTCTCTGATAGGCTCCTGAATTCCTTCTCTGTGTTGTCTTGACATTCACTGAACTTCAGGACAGCTACTTTGAATTCTTTGTCTGAAAGGTGACATATCTCTATCACTCTTGGATTGGTCATTTATACCTTACTTAGTTTGTTTGGTGAGGTCATGTTTTCCTGGATGTTCTTGATGCTTGTGGATGTTCATTAATGTCTGGGCATTGAAGAGTTAGGTATTTAGTTTAGTCTTCACAGTCTGGGCTTGCTTGAACCTGTCCTTCTTGAGAAGGCTTTCCAGGTATTGAAAGGGAATTGAGTGCTGTGATCTAAGTCTTTGGTCACTACAGCTGTTTCTGCACCGGTGGTGCCCCAAGTCACAGTAATGCTGTAACTCTTGCAGACTCCTGGTGGCACTGCCTTGGTGGACTTGGGTAACATACAGGAGAATTCCCTGGATTATCAGGCAAAGTCTCTCACTCTCTTCCCTCAATCTCTGTGCTAGGCTGCTGGAGTTGGGGGAGGAGTGATGTGGGCACTTCCTCATGGCCACTGCAGCTAGGACTGTGCCAGGTCATACCTGAAACCAGCCCAGTCTCACCCAAACTCCATGGTGACTGTTGCCTGGCTACCTCTGATGTTTATTCAAAGCCCAAGGGCTCTTTAGTCAGCAGGTGGTGAATCCTTCCAGGACTGGGTCCCTCCCTTCAGGGCAGCTTACTTCCTTCTCGCCCAGGGTGGGTCTAGAAATGCTGTCCAGGAACAAAGGCCTAGAATCCATGGCTTCGGGAGTCTGCTTGGTACTTTATTTTATTGTGGCTGAGCTGGTACCCAAGTTGCAAAACAGAGTCTTCTGAACTCTTCCCTTTCCTTTCCCCAAGGGAAAGAAGATTCTCCCCGAGCTGCACTGCCTGGAATTAGAGGAAGAATGACACAGGAACTGGCTCGGGCACCACTGATGGTGTCTCACTGGGTCACGTGCACCCCAAGTCCACTGGCTCTGAGCCAGCACAGACACAGGAATTGCCCAAAGACTGCAGCCTTTGTGGCCCAACTGCCTTATAAATTTAGTCCAGGTCCCAGGCTGCTTTTTCTCAGCCAGAGGACCAGCTAGCTGGAACTCAGGTTTCGAGGTGGAGGATTTCCCTCTGGCCAGACTGTTTTAAATGCTCCCTCCAGGGATGCGGGCAGAGTTCTGCCCTGTGCTATGTTCTCCTGTTCCCAGGTGGCCCCAAGTTTCAATGCAAAGTCCCACAATCACTTCACTCTTGCTCACGTGGGCACAGATTCTCTACTTGGTGTGGCCCTGCAGGGGTATGAGGGAGGGGTGGTGTATGCAATGCAAGACTGTCCTCTTCCATGCCTCTTTCCTTGATATAATGTGAAAACCAGGTACTGTGATCGCTCACCGGAGTTTGGTTCTTCCAAAGGTGCTTCCTTGCGTGGATGGTTGTTGAATTTGATGTTCATGAGGAGGGACAATTGCTGGAGCGTTCTATTTGGCCATTTTGCTCTGCCCCCTCTCTGAGTTTTATTTTTATACATAAATGATAGCATATACACAATTTTCTGTATTTTGCTTTTTTCCTACTTAACAGAACATTTTGGAGGACATTGCATATCAGTGTATGTAGGCTGGTCTCATTCTTTTTAAGTCTGCTAGTATTCCATTATCTGGAGGTAGTAT